GGCCCCAGCCGTCCAGGGTCCCGTCCGATCTGGTGGTGAAGAAGACGGCCGGCCTCACAGTGCTCCAGCACCCGTCCGTCAGGTAGGAGAGGTGGTACCTGCCGGCAGACCCGATGCAGCGGGGATGGGCTCGTGGCCTCCATCCTCCTGTCCCCATGGCTGCTGCCTGTGCAGCGCCTTCAAGCCAAAAGCCCAGGCCTGGGCACCCTCCGTTCCAGTGCCCTCAGCCAGGCTGGCACTGCTCTGCCTTGGTGACCGTCCCATCACCTCCTGCCCGACCTGAGCAGACCAGACCCTGCTGCTCACCTGCACGGAACCCTCTCTTCCACAAAAAAGATTTTTTGCAGGGCAAACACACCGACACCTACTTGGTCCACATAATTGACGATTCCTTGGTCTCCTCTGACCAGATTCGAGCAGTCCAGTCGCCGACCGTCAGGAAGATTTTGGGGCAGAAAGGGTTCCTGGCCAGCGCGTAGACAGGTCCGTGGTGGCCACTGTAGGTGCTGGTGATTTTTTCGGAGGGTGTCTTGGCCTTGCGGTTGCAGGCGATGACGATGCCCTGCTCTGTGCCCACCATGAACTTGGTGGGCTGAGGGTGGGAGCAGGAGAGAGCAGCCGTCAGCAGGCTGGGGACCCCATGGTGCAGGGGGCAGTGGGGCAGCAAAGGGCTTTGCTGTCTGAGCAGGGGGAAGCCTGCTGCAGCCAGTGCCTGGGGAGAATGGAGCCCTGGGACCCGCCATGATCTGGGGGATTTAGAGACCGAAATGCCAGCAAGACCCCGTGTTTTGGGAGAACATCAACTCTCAATTCTTAAAGATGGGTGAGAACATGCTGCAAGCTGCAGCATGGTGCTCTGGGTCACTCTGGGCATCAGATGCTTGTGCTGTGCCCCTGGAGCCCTGCCCACGCGGGTTCGGCTGGGTTTGGCTGGGCTCACACTCCTGCCCAGGTGAGGATACTGGTTGTGTGCAGGCAGGGTGATCCTGACGGCAGGGCAGAGAGGCTCACCATGGTGGGCTCGAACTCCAGCGTGACGGCACCCAGAGCGTTCTCCAGGAGCCCTTTCCGGGTGACATCCAAGACCAGCGTCTCGGTGGGCTCAGACAGCTTGCGGATGTCCCACCACAGGACCTGCACGGGACAAGCAGCGGGAGGGGGCTGCAGGGCAGGGGCTGCTCCCGGCTCCGGCCCGGGGGGCGGGGGGCCGAGCG